AAGTCAAAACACGTTGAAAACCAGCTGCAAATCGTCTTTCCCGCACTTGAACCTCTCGAATGTCCACGACTCATTAATCTTGATCAAGCCGCAATCCAGCTTGGCAAAAATATCCACGGAATCCCAGACACCTGTGTTCACATTGTCTCCTGCGCTTGAGTCAATTTTCTGTGCTACTGATGAGAACCCCTCACGGGTTCGGATTTCCTGGACCAGGAAAGAAAACGGCGCTTGGGGATGAACCCGACAGACGTATTGCACGTCCTTGCCTCCGGTGCTGGTGATGAGCAACCCGCCGGGTTGCGTTGGTCTCGTGAGGTAGTACAGGTGCACTGTGACTGAAGGCCAGTCCGTCAGGTGATCCTTATCATCACGTTTCCCAGGTCGGGGAAATGATTTCCAAACACCGAGAGCGAAGCACTTTGGCCTGTCAAAATTTTAGATTTGAAGAGAATAAAAAAAAAAATCATTGGGGCAAAATTTAAGGCAGCATGCTGGAAATACAGTTTCATTCCCAGATTTCAAGAGAATAAAAAAATCATTGGAGAAAAAATTAAGGCAGCATGCTGAAATTACAGTTTCATTCCCTTCTGTATTGAACCAGAATTCTGTGCATGAAGTAGATTTTTTGTCCAGTATCCAACAGAAATGAGAAATATTATCTCAAATTTTCAAATTATCGTTGTACATTGCTGCTTCTCTCAGATATCTGTACTGTGTATGCACTCAGTGCGGTACTTGGAAATTGATTTATAGTTTTAAAAAAGAATTGCCAATAAATTTAAACTGAAATTTAGAAATTTGCCCTTTTCTATATTTCAGAACTATAGCAGCAGTCACATACGTATACGAACAACGAAATCACAATAAAGTCAGAAATGTATGGTTTTTGTAAGATTTACATTTATTTGCTACGCGGTAAAAATGTTTACTTTCCGTTTTTTGCGGATGACTGCTTGAATTTAATTGTTGTTTACAGTGGTTAACTGACATAATGACTTGAATTCTTTTTTTATTAACCTGTTACCGCAATGCCAAGCAGAAGTAATTTGCAACAAATTGAATCACAGTGATACAATTTTTCACTTCACCACCATATTAAAACATATGACTTGCAAAATACCCAGAAAGGAAAATTACATTTGGCCAAAAAATGTTTATACATTACCGAGTCTACGGCATCTGTCATCAGCAAGGAATTTGGAAGCTGGGTCAAATTCACAAAATTACACTGGGATAGACATTTAAACTCGTTATCACAATTTATAAATTGCATTATATATTCCATATTTCAGAACCAGCATCAATCACATATACACAACGAAATGCCAAAAGAAAACACGAATTTGTGTGGTTTTTGTCATAAGTTGACGTTCTTCCAACCTGGTATACGTAATCATTTTGTCGAACTTTTTGCAGATATTTGCTTCAAGTGGATTATTGTTGATCGGCCATACAGTTAAATGCAAGGTTGAAATTTTTGTTTGACATCTATACGCATTTTGAGAACTACTTTGGTTCATTCAAACCGCAGAAAACTAATATAAATAAGTTTAAAAAAAGAAAACATAATAAGAATCGAGACTGATTCTCTCACCCTTCCGGTAGATGCACAATGTTTTCACTATCAGATGACACTTGGTCGTCACCGTCATTGACATTGAGGTGCGACGTCGATTCGTGAATATTTTCAGGTTTGCTTTGAAGTAATGATGAAACGGAGTCTCTGTCCTTTGGTGTGAGCTCACGTGAAAAGTGTCTGTGTTCCTCGGTTAAATCACTGTTTGCTAAATCACATGCTGCACCTGAAACACAGGGATCCTTTGAAAGTTTGCTGAGAGTGATTTCGTCGGTGGTGAGGGATTGGCTGTCTTCATCTGTGGGTTCTAGAGATGATGGAATGTTTCCCATTCCGGGTGCTGG